AATAAGATTATTTTGCGTAAACTAATAGCCTAATATCTATCTGTTATCGACTTCCTATCTGCGTCTCTGCTAGGTACAATTTATCGATTCTAATAGCAGTTAGGCAACTAACTACTAACTATAACGGTACTAAGTGGAACGCGCATTGCAATTATTATAATGGAAGTTATGGATCGACGATGAGAATACCTTCGGTCGAATCTGTATCTTAAGAAATCGCCCGCAGCTACTAAATTACCGCTAAGAAACTAAATTAAAATGCTCACTAATAGTCACACACATAAAGCTTCGAAAGCATAAATGTGTAAGCAGTCAATTCAAGAGAGAAACGTTACGCATTTTTGCAAATTAGTATTTCATAACCCGTTCTCATCATCATCATTATCATCATCGCCACAAATATTGGTGAAAGAACAATTTACTTGTCATGGACACCTAATATTTTTGTTGTTACGTAAGATTGAATCAGATTTAATTCTTATTGCATTTGCGCATACGTTAATAGCTTTATCGCAATAATAAAATGAAATTTGGATTGTTTAAAATATTAAGAGGAAGACTGAATAATTGATACTAAAGTTGCTTTGTGGATTTTGAAAGATTTGGACTATTATTTCTATAAAATGGTAAAGCAAATTGCAGTGAACAACAGTTTTGATCGTATATTAATGTTGCTAATTGGTACTTAAAAAAACTATGCCGAAAGGAAGAAATTTTCCCTTAAAATTATCATTAGCCTTATTGAACAGCCAAAATAGCTCAAACACCAACGCCAAAACACAGCAATAAATGCTTGAATTACTGGTCTTGACTCTCTTTTGACTTATTTTCATAATAATTATTTATAGAAAATCTTAGATAACTGTAACAGTAGTTTCAAACTAATGACTTTTGTAAAATTGTATACATTTTCAAAATATTTGAAAGGTAGCAAAATAGAAGAACCAACACTAGAAGAGTTAAAAAGTCAAAATTCTTGAGCGGATAATACATTCCAGTGGATAAGTTAATGGTGTTTTTATGATGGGCTTCTAAACAGAACAATAATGACTTTAGAGAAGAACTAATTATAATACACGCATCATTCCGGGAAAAATGACATTTTTGAATAATCGTTTGGTTCTAATGCTAAACATTTAATCAGCTAATTATAAATTAATTAGAATCTCAAAAAAATATCATTTTTCAAATTAAATAAGCAACTGTATCGCATTCATTGATGTATTGACTCAAAAAGGGGAAATGACACAAGATCATAGCTGATGACAACATTAAATATAGTCCATTAACATTCGTTTGGCATTCGTTAACAAAACTTTCAACCTCAAATTTTGCAAGAAAATGTATGATGTACTTAGAGGCCGAAGTTCAATCGTCAGTCTAGTAAATGTTTGGACATCTTTTGTAGCTTAGGTACATGATGGGAAATACCGGACAGTTGAGGTTCACATGTTTGCTTTTCCTAATAGTCTATTCGTATATGTCGAAATGACGATGTATGAGAGACACGAACGATAAAATTGTTAATTCAGAGACTCGAGTCTCTCACAGAGAGACTGAATGAATAAAAGTGAAAAATTGAGAGACTCGACTCTCTCGTAGAAATACTGGGATCTCTGAAACATGTTGAACTTAGAAAATCTTAACCATGTCTCTATCGAGACACCACTTATTGAGAGATTTGAGTCTCTCGTTCAGAGACTGGATACGAAATAAGGATCTCTCTATGAGCGACTGAAGTCCCTCGTTTAGAGACGCTAAACAGTCTTTTTGACAGTCTCTCTCAGCGACACCAGAGAGACTCGACGAGAGACGGAGACTCGAGTCTCGTTTTCAGAGATTCTGAGAGACTGAACATTTTTATATCGGGATATAAATACATTTATTCTATTAATCACTTTATTTTCAAATTAACGTGCAGGACAATAACTGTATTCTGATCGAATTAAAGTAGGTATTTATTATGGAATAAAACTTTTTTTGTAAATCATCTTACTTTTATTGTGCACTAATATTATAAAAGTTTTCCTTTAACGAACTCTAATAAATAAATCCGTTTATTTTATAAATTTTTATTCGGTTGCTGATTTTACTATTCAAAGCTCAGCCGAATGGACTACCTTAGCGGTAAAATAATTGTTTGCGGTTTGCGTTGATTCCTTGTGGTTGTGCGTGAGATGAAAACGAGGGACCGCTTTCGTTATACTTTTCTGAAAGTATGGATATAAAGTATGTACGTTGTTTTCACTTGAAATTGGCACTTTATAAACATTGAATAATAACTTGTAATAAACGGTTCGGTTTTGATGGCGAGAGACAAGAAAGTTTCACCGTTTTTACCATAACAAGAATAATGCTCTAGTTTAAATACGATGCCTACATTCATAAAAGGTTTTCCGATTCAATTCACCGCACATTCTGTTACGTTTTCCTCCCAATGATAGCAATATGACAATGATAGTATCTGTTCCTATCATTAAATATAGAGATAAATATAGGTGTGACACAGTAAATCTTTTCTTTTTCTTTCTCTTTTATGATATGGTATTATTACAATTAAATAAAAACCTATCGATAATATCAAGACCTACTTATCTACAAGCATAAAAAGATCTTCTACTAATAAAGTAAAAATAAAAAAATACCGGGACAGTGGTGGCACATGAATTTTGTATAAATGTATTTTATCAAAATAGTGACAAATACAGTAAAATTATTGAATGATTGAATTTATGTCATCGACAACAAACAAACCCAGAAAGCAGTAATTGCAACAGGACGATAAATATACGTCGTAAGATACATTCAACATCCTCATCCTGAGGTCGTCAGTCTTAAGACTGGTTGAACACGCACCTCCACTCTTTCCTATCCTGAGCTAAACTTCGCATTTCCCTAAAACTAGAACAACACATATCCTTAACTATTTGCGAACAGTAATCTAGATCTACCTTCACCCCTCCTAACTTCCGTTTCTGCCCCTAATATGTCCCAGACTAGACCTTCATGTCTGAGAAGGTGTCCTACTAACCTAACTCGCCTATTTCTTATTGACTTCCATAGAGTCCTCTGTTCTTCTATTCTTTCTGTTACCTCTTCATTTCTAACCTTCTCTATCCACGATATCCTCATCATTCGCCTGTAACACCACATTTCGAACGCTTCTAACCTTTTCTTTTCCTCCGCTTCCACCGTCCATGTTTCGCACCCGTACAGCGCCGTGCTCCAAACATATACCTTTAACAACCTTTTTCAAATTTCTAATTTAACCGTTCGCGAGCATAGAAGTGACTTCTTTTATTGAAAACGACTCGACCTTGCGCTATTCTCTTCTTTATATCCTAATTACTCCTTCCGTCCTGACTTATCTGACTTCCTAGATACCTAAAATCGGCCGCATTTTTCGTCTTCTATCTTTATACATTCAAGAACTCTTTTTTATTCGATTTTAATAATTATATAGAAGATTTACTGAAAATGAGTTTTAATTTAGTTTCCATTGATAAAATTTGTTTTATTACGTCATTGTTTTAAAGCAATGGACCCAAAACAGTACCTTGTGGGACGCCAACGGTTGTAAACCTACAATTCTGAGTAAGTCTTTAATTTAATCGTATATTTTGTCATTAAAGTATACCTATAGTTAAGTCAAAATCTGTTTTGTTTTTTAGAATCTGACTTCAACTTTGCTATTTTAAAAACTAAAAATGACGGAATTAGAATTACGTAGGATGAGAAACTAGTTTTGTTACCGCATACATTCCTAATAACGAAAGAGATATTTTACGCAAACACAACAACAAAATTGAATGTCGCATAATTTCCTATAGTTCAATTAATATTGATTCCTCGTCTAGATGCAGACAAGAAATCATAGATTATACAAACACTTTATACTGATATACCCATCACACCTATCGACATTAAATTGCTTCTGATGACATTACGAAAATTTGCAAGTTAAATTCGAAAGGTGTGTCCGATTCTTTGATCGTTCAGATCGTGACAGACATATATAAAGCGGAAAAAATGTAATAACGTTTGAAAAGAAATTTAATTTGGCTAGCATTCCTCACGGGTACGTAACTATACGTGTTAAATTATTTAACTCATTTTCATTTCATTAAAGATTCGCTAGAAAGTAAAGATAGATAAACAGGAAACTTTTTGAGGCAGACTATTACGAAACATGTCAGATAAACCATTTAATACTCCAAATTTTTGTTATTTCCACAAATATTTACCAGACTACTGAAACTCGGTACAACTTATTATATACATAATACTATACTATAATATATTATGCTCGCGAAAGGTTAATTTAGAAATTCGAAAAAGGTTGTTAAAGGTATATGTTTGGAGCACGGCATTGTACGGGTGCGAAACATGGACAGTGGGCGCGGCGGAAAAGAAAAGGTTAGAAGCGTTCGAAATCTGGTGTTATAGGCGGATGATGAGGATATCGAGGGTACAAAAGGTTAGAAATGAAGAGGTATTGGAAAGAATAGGAGAACAGAAGACTCTACGAAAGTCCATAAAACATAGGCGAGATAGGTTGGTAGGACACCTCAGGCATGAAGGTCTAGTCAGAGACATATTAGAGGCAGAAACAGGAGTTAGGAGGGGTAGAGGCAGACCTAGATTAGATTACTGTTCGCAAGTAGTTAAGGATGTGGGCTGTTCTAGTTTTAGGGAATTGCGAAGTTTAGCTCAGGATAGAAAAGAGTGGAGGTACGTGTCCAACCAATCCTAGGACTGACGACCTTATGATGATGATGATGATGAATAATAATATGGTAGGTATGTAAAAATAAAATCGACTTTTGTTCTCCTATCCATGCGAGATAATTTTTAAAACGGCTGAACTGTTTTCAATAGGACTATATAAACATAAAGGAAGAGGTTCCCGACTAGAAAAAAGTTAGGGTTTCGCTTGGATACTATTCGCCATGCTTGGGTCTCCATTTATTTTAAGACAATTTAACAGATGAATTACTTACGATAAGTCAAGATTTCAGAGTTGTAATTATGAAACGGGTAGAAAGGTACTAACCTGAAAAGAAAAATACACAATATTAAGTACATTACAAAAAATGCAAATAAAATAAATGATCCTAAATAAAACTTATTCGATAATATATGGTATACAAATCTATTGAAAATAGTTGTTGAAGTTGTAAAATACTGCGTTGTATAGTAAACAAGAACTACCAAAATATCGTATGTAATAGATTCTCATATGTATTTAAAAATCACTAAATGACGTTTGTGACGATATACTTATATGTGTCTTCTTATATTTTTATCAACCCCCTACAGAAGTTTCAACCGTCCCTGTTTATTTAGGAAGCAGCTGTCAAACATCCCTTCCAGGTGAAACTAAGGGGTGCAGAGTAATAAACGACATACATGTTGTTTAACGTACACTAGTAGAACCGTATAAAATGATTGATATACTAGGTGATTTATAACAAAGGAAATAACAACTAATAAAATTGTAAAATAAAAGCATTGTATATAAATTCAAAAGAAGACATTGTGTATTCTAATAAGTGCAACAAAGCAAACTGTCTGTTGGAAATTGATATCTAGGAACTAACTTATATGAACTTGTAGCAAAAGGATTTGAATCGTTTCATTTTGCTAGAATCCAGGTATCTCCTGTCTAAGTCATTCAATATAAAATTAATGCACTTTCCTTGCTGAAAACTTAGAAAACAGCACACGATCATGAGAATTAACAATTTTCTTTAATTGGATCAATTGTTTTCTTCTAAGCTTTTAGTTTGGTTCAATATTCACTGATTGAATTCTCATTTTAAGTATTGTTCCTTAAGGCTCTTCCAGAGATTCATAATGCAATATTTACCTAATTAACATTCTAGTGTGAAAAATGAAACTTAAAGTATTAGCAACTCATTTTGCAATCGGTTAGAGAAAATTATATGGAAGCTGATAAATTACCTCGTCTCTTTTTGAATGCACGTATTATACAGCAATAATACACGTTCATTCACTCCCTATACCTTTGTTCTGTGTTCACAGATTACCAATTTCCGTTAGAGCAAATTGGAATTAACGTTAGGCATTATAGGAAAGTATACGCGGATTTTTCGGTGTTACGATCAGCGGTTTCTTGCAACAACTGAATAGTAATAATCCAGGATAAATAAATCACAACGGCCTCCCTTTGTTATTATTTACTGCCCAAAGAAACAAATTATACCGGGAATAATAATTTCACTTACGTCAAAGATCCTAACTAGAATCGTACAAAGCAGCATGGGAAAAGGGCGGAAGAATTATTATGGGAAGACCAATTTGAGCTCGTACATAAGTTTCGTAGATTTAGAAAAAGCTTTTGACGATGTTACAAGATGTTAAATATACATAAAAATGTAGGGGTGAAATATTTATTTATTTATTTATTTAAGAATGATTACGACAGGCAAAAATGCCCAAAATACATAAAAGATATCGTAAAGTGGTTAACATCTAATGTTCACAGCTCATGGTAAATATAAATCATAAAGAACAAAATATCTCTCAACAATATTCAAGAATTTTGTTTTTCATATTAGCAGAAAAGATGTGAATCGGAGAATATAGATATAGAAGAGTGAAACATAGTTTGTATAAAGAGCAAAAGGAAGGAATCAGTTAAGGATGCATAACACTTTATAATCTATACATCAAAGACGCTTAGATTTGCAGATGAGTGTTAACATCAAGCAAAGGAGAGTTAGAGGTAGCCTTAAATAAAATTGAAGTCTTATTAACCAAACACTATTGTATAAAAATAAAACAAAAGTGTTGGTATGCAAGGAAAGAAACTAGGTAAAAAAGGAATATAAATATAGGAGACAAAAAATTGCAAGAAGTGGCTGATTTTCGGAATCCAGAAAGTCAGATAGTTCAGGATGGAAGGAACAGTAGAGATATAAGACAGAGGATAGCGCAGGATTTAATCGACTTTAACAAAAAAAAGTTACTTCTAGGCTTGCAAATGGTTAATTCAGAAATTCCAAAAAAATGGATTCCACGGATAGAACGGGTTAGAAATGAAGATGTGTTAGAAAAAGTAGGAGAACAGAGGATGCTATGGTAATCAGTTAAAAATAAGCTACTTTTCGCCGCCTCTATCCCAGGAAGTACAATTTTCTTAGGTAATAAGTAGATTAGCAATCATGTTACTCAGTGAAATATCGCAAAAACCTTTCGATTTAGTCGCATAGAAGATACCATTGCATTAAATAAAAACGTCGCATAATTTTAGCATATAAGGGCTATGTGAAGTTGAACGCTCAGGGTTTCAATATTCAGGATGCACCCACACATAAGCTAAAACATCAATGAATGAGCTTTGGTCCACTCAAGCACATCCGCAGCTACGTCCTTGATGTACTATGAATTCCATGCACCTAACTTGGGTGTACTTCCTACTCGTGTAATATACCAATTATCAAAGCTTTGATAAGCACGAATCGCACTACTCGAACGATTCTTCTACTTCATGAACATAATTAGATCATACAGAAATGCAGCAGAACGTTGCCATACAACTAAGAATACATAATTTTGATAATACCAGGCTAATGCCCTTTAAAACAGTTTTTTGTTTAAACGATACGTGGGACAAAATAAAGGATTTTTTAGTCAAGACAACCACGTAGCGCCTTAGTTTTTGAGATAATCATGAAAGAATATTTTTTTTTTAGACGTGTATGCTATAGTTATTTTAAACAGTCCTTTCCGGAAAGTAATTTTGTAAACTAAAGTTATTGTGGTTATCCATCTATCAATAAAAATTATAAGTCAAAATAAAATTCTATTAATGTATTATGTTCCAATACATAAATAAAGATGTACTCTTTTCGCAATAATTAAAGTAATTTTTAAATAGAGATTCTTTGCGTTGATTACTATAGGTACATTATCATAAGCATGATGGCCGACATCAGCAACAATACGACAACAATTAGAAAAGAATGATGGCCGACAACAGCAACAATAAAAAAAATGATGGCCGACACTACGTAATAATGGAGCAATAAAGATGGCCGACTATTTACAATAGAAATTTGAATACATAATAGAAGATGGTTAATGTAATCATTTAATTGAGATTTAAATTTTAGTTGATTACTACTATAGGTACATCGTCGTAAAGAGACGTCCTTTTTGCCAGAAATTAGAAAAGTATAATGGCCGACGACAGTGACATCACGACAACAATTGGAAAAGAATGATGGCCGACAACTGCAACAATACGGCAACAATAAGAAAGAATGATGGCCGACACTACGTAACAATGGAGCAATAGAAATGACCGATTATTGACAATAGAAATAAATGTACAACTGAAATCTTGTTTTCAATTAACTTATAATAAATAATCATGATGGATAACTTTGAATATTCGCTTTTTTAGATGTTGATATTTCGTTAAATTCATTTTATTAGGGTCGTCACCGTGTATTCCGCAATAAAACTCCTAATCTAGCCTTATTAACGCCGACATTTTGGATAAAACAACTTGAAAGATATTTGATTGGAAATATGAAGAAGTATAGTAGAGTTTATTCAATTTAGCAGAAGTTTTCTGATTAATCAGTGAATTTCGCACGGTTCAAATTCAGCCTTCGCTATCTTCTTGGTTTACATTCAATGCAGTTTGCTTAGTTATGTGTATATTACGTGTGGATATTGAAGTTCATACGACCTCGGCCTAGAGTTACCCGTTATTAATCTAATTAGCTTTATACCTTCGTAAATTGACCTTGTTTATGGCAGATACACATGCAACCAATGACAATATTTATCTTATTATGCCCACCGATACTTTGTAAAGATAACCGATTTTATCGTAACAAAATACTAGTTGAATTACGTAGGCGATCTTCTCGTACTTAGCTATTCGTTTCAACTTTCAAGCAAAATGTAAATCGTCGATCATGTCAACTAAATATGTAAATTGTTATGGGTATTATTAATATTATGATACTGACACCGCTGTAAATACCTACAGATACATTTATGGCAGATTATAAATACGTTAGATGATATTTGATGTCTCATTTTAGGAGAGATGAAGTCATATTTTAACAGTCTATTGATTTTCTCAATTTTATTGTTTGCAAACCCTGTCAAAATGTCATCATCATTATAAAGTCGTCAGTCCTAAGACTGATTGGACACGCACCTCCACTCTTTCTACCCTGAGCTAATCTTCGTATTTCCCTAAAACTACAACAACCCATGTCAAAATGTGTGAAATCACTACATAGTATAAAACAAAGTCGCTTTCCCGCTGTCTTTCCCTATGTATGCTTAAATATTTAAAACTACGCAACGGATTTTGATGCGGTTTTTTTTTAAAAGATAGAGTGATTCAAGAGGAAGGTTTATATGTATAATACATGCATAATATAGTGGAGAAACACTGATAATTGTAGAGGTTTCTAATGTGATGTTGCAAACGCTGGCTGAACCCTACTAAATAGATCAAAATAATGTACTACAATATTGTACATCTTAAAGGGTCTACAAAAAAGTCCATAACTTTGTTATGCCCTAAATACAATATTTTTTCAAGGGATTATGTGTAAGATTTTACTCGTTGCAATGGTTATTAATATTTCAACTGAAATCGAAAACTTTAATAGTTGATGTTAATCACAGTAGACATTTCAGCATTACTTTTAAAACAACAATAAGACAATTGTTTCTCACAATCATGAAACAAAGAATTCTAACGCATTTTTAATTACTGTGAATTTCAAATTTTCGTAATGTAAGTGCATTATAAGAGAATGGTAACTGTTATATAACAGTGCCATTAGTGTATGTAAATCAAAAGAGAACATCTCTCACAGACAGAATTAACGAACCTGATAATGTTAATGGCTAATCAAAAAACATTGAAATTTAAATTAAAAAAGTTATAGTAAACATGTGATAGCTCATTTATCAAATTAGGTCATCCCTTACAGTAAAAAGACTGTAGTTAAAAAGCACTATTATAGATCATAAATTTCACTTTTAAATGTGTTG